CATCAAGCACATTGGATGGCAAAGGCCATATACTCCCTCAAAATCTGGTTATTCCGAACTCAGTTCAGCCTGACTCGTGAGGAGAAGGGACTTTGAGATATATGCATTTTTATCGTACGACTGTACATCACAGCTTGGTATACCTGTCCCATTGCACCATGTGCACCGAACAATGACCTGTTGTTTCTTCAGCAGCTAATTGCATACTACTCAGTGAATCCAGCTCTGTAGCCAGCAGCAAGTTTGCAGGACACCTGTGGTACGTCAGTGAGGAACTCATTGGGCTGGCTTTCTTTGACGCAGCAGTCAGTTCTGAATCAAAACGAGCAACGGTTAAAAACAGAAATGAAAAGGAAGGAGATGATGAACCTGCAAAATGAATCTTTAACCTAAAAGTTAACCTGAAACAGTGCACTAACATGAAAATTGAGGACTTTGTTACCAAACAAACACTGTCATCCTTTCAGCATCTGCAACTGCCTGTTGGCTTCCTGGACCTTGATGTAGCCTTATGGAATGAAAACACAGATTATCAGCACTGCTTGAATGTTGTACATAACATACGTGTTGTCAATGACACAGCTGAACGGGAGTACAATCCCATACTGACAAAGAAAGAAACTCAAAAACAATACCTGTTGCAGGTTGTGAAACAGCATCGCTAACAATTGCCTGACTGTTCTAAACATAAACTTTCCAACAACTGACTGCAAAACTGTGTTGATACGGATTACGTACTCGATGACTTGCAAGATTCTCAGCAATATTTAATAATTTTCAAGTTTGTTTCGGTTGTCTTTAGAAATACTGTGTTCAGTTGAATGGAAACAGTTGGTGGAATGGAAAGTGAATGACGTTAAGAGCCATAGCATACATTTTCACTAATTTTGACAAACAAATTGTCAGTAACTGACAATAAATTCATTATTTGTGAGCACTGCTTCATATTCAGTGGTTTCAACACAAACAACTGTTGTAGCGTTAAGTTATGTAAAAACAGGTAAAAATAACGTTTGATAGATCTATATTTCACCTTTACTTAGAATTTCGGTATTAACCATAACTTTGTTCTCCTTGAGCAACCCCTAAATACTGATATCGATATCTGATATCACTCAAACTTTGCAGAAATACTTCTTTTGTTGCCCATGACAATATTAGAGGGTGAGACCTAAGGAATTTTGCATATTTATTTTTGATGCATACTTAAGGACCCTATTATTCACCATATACCAAAAAGTACAAGGAATTTGTTCTTGTGGGGATATGTGAGGTAAACGTACTGTCTAGACGAAAAACATGAACAGATACACAAAAAAAAAATGGAATAAAAGTACAGAGAGAGGATAAGAAGATGCGCTATTATTAAATATACAAACGTGGCATATAAATAAGGGTGAGATGACAAGATGTGACAACATTCAGTTCCAGTGATTGTAAGATGTGTAGATTTAGAGGAATTCGCTTAATGAGACCTTCGGAGGCTGTGTGCTTACTTCAACTGGAAGGTGTGATTAAAAATAACACGGCTGTAGATGCTTGAGCCATTAGACAGTAAGTGTGAAGCGCGTCGTGTCCGACATGTCTGCCGAGGTAAATGGCCGCGGTTGTCAGTCTTCATAAGCGCCTAAGTGGTGCTGGATGGGGGCAGTGTTCTGCGAGCCTCTTGTTTTGACGAATCAATAAGGGCCGCTTCAGAAGACGGCCTCTGTAAACCTGTCTGGGACCAACGCCTCCCATCTGCCAGGGTTTGACGTGAGAGCTTTTGGTGAAGGTCTTACGCAGAACCAAACCATTGATTTGACGCGGGTAAAGCAGTGGACAATCTGTCCTGTTCACTGGTTCACTGTTAAGGGCTGGTAATCAATGCTAAGTGTATCAGTCACACTCATTCTACAGCTCTGAACTAAAGGGGGAGTGTGTGGCCCATTTGGTTAGGACATGGGTACAAATGAAATGGTCGGCAGAGTACTCCCATGGTTTGTCATGTATGTCGCTGTGGCAGCTGCCAAATAACTAAAAAAGTGAGTATTAATCGGGCTCGGTTTGAGGATGGAGCACCTGATTTATGATGCTGGTGGTCTTGAGATACCAGGATAATCGGTCCCTCATGGGATGCTGCACGTCTCCCTTCGCTTTCCTTGGCGAGGTTCCCATTTTGTGGGACTGAGGCGGGGCCTGCCGTCAATTGTCCTCATTCATCAAAGAGTCTTGGTACCTTGCTGGAAAATTACAGGGTTTGCAGTCCATGTGTGACGATGTTCGCAGTGATGGACAAAAAAAACTGTGCCCCGGTCGTCCTTGCAAATAAACGTCTTTGGGTTTCACGGTCCTTCTCGGAAGGATTTGTTGCAGAAAATATTTGCTTTCCTGTGAAATATTTATTTGTCTACAGGGGGTTTAACATGTCCGGGTTTGATAGGAATCAAATGCTGGTCTACAGAAGATACTTTGAAGGATCCCGGCTTATTGAAGACCGCTTTGAAGCCTACTCTCTCCATATTTCGTAGCGGAGCATGGCAGACAATATCCAGTTTGTTATGAATTATTTATGCGTTTTCGATGGTTTTCTTTGCATGCGTAGGTAGATGGGTTGAAATACAATCCCCGCTTGAAGTACACTTTCAGCTTTTTTTTTTTTACGTAGCTTCTAGTGAGTTTGGGTCACATTCAAGTAGCCCCTCCCACCCATAAAATCTCCTGATCCTGCAGCCTCTGGAGGCAGCAGAACTGGGCACACGTGCTTCTGTGTGTGTGTGTGTTGTTTTTGCTGTGCTGTGCATGGATCTGACTTGTTATCAAAGCAGTTCCGGCTGAGAGATCTTGCCTCGGGTGTAAACACAGTGACCCTGCCCTGTCCTGGGACTCCCCCTCCTGTGATTACAGAACGTGATGCTGCTTCTGACCCTGTGGGAGGTGGTAGGGTTAGTCCCGCCCCCCCCCGCTTCACTCTGATTGGTTAATAGTGCAAGGTGACCACGCCCACAGTGTGTTTCATGGCCCCTCTGCTGGCTCTTGTTCTGCTACATACCGCTGGCCCGAAACTGTAGTAAAACTATTCATAGCCGATAATTCGGTGCTGTATGTAAGTTGATAAGATGGTAAATAATTTACCGGGTAAAAATAATGAACATTTATTGTGAGGACATTTGGGAAGCAGTGGTGGGGGTTTCCAGTGTCAGGAAGCTTGGGAGGGAGGGGGGATCCTGGATTGGTTTACGGTAGCATAATTACCCTGCAAAGACCTTCTTGCAGCCGCTCTGTCTCCGCTGACGGCAAGGTGTCCCTGTCACTCTGATGCCGGGCGCTCGGTGATCATGTGACCCGCCCCCGCGGATTGGCAAGTGCAGCTGTTGCTCCTGGTCGGGGTGTGTGTGTGTTTGTGTGTGTGTTTGTGTGTGTGTTTGTGTGTGTGTTGGCCAGTACCCACTCTCCCAGGATGACAGGACACCAGGTAGGCTGGAGGAAGCATCAGCAGAGAGGCGGGGTCGGTTGGGGGTTGGTTGGGGGTCAGTTTGGGGCTCAGTTTGGGGCTGTCAATGCAAACAATCTGGTGTGATGTTGGCAGTGGGAGCTAAAGGAGGCTCGTCCCAGGCCTTGGTGGACAGGAGAGAAACTGCCTTCCACTCCAGCTGTTTGCTTGGGGGGGGTTGGTGTTACATGGTGACTTGGAGGCACCGTTGATGTCCGAGTCCGGTTCTGACAGGTTTGGCGATGTACGCCGGCCGGAGTAATTGGAATCGGTCGTATCGCTGACTCGTGCGAGCGAAGTGTGAACGGGCATGTAGAGTCCCAGGGGAGGTTGTTAGCAGCACCAGGCTGGTCAGGAAGACCGGCTGCCTCTGAGCCGTGCAGCTGGCCTGGACCGGCTCCGCTTCCCAACTACAGGATTAACGTCATTAAGTTAGGAGCTGGATCGCGGTTCGTCCGAAATCTCACAAGACCTTTTCTCTCCTAGTTAAGACTTATGGTTCATTCTTGTCTTTTATTCAAGTTCCTCGAGGGTAGATCAGTTGGCCATGGCTGGTCAATGCATTCAAATAAGCAGCCAGAGCCTGATCTCCTTCGGCTCTGTGGGGAATGCGCTGAAGCAGGGATGGGGGTCCGTGCCAAGCCCGGGGCCCAGCGTGACGGCTGCAGATCCGTCTGGGCAGAGGGAGCTTTTGTGTTGGAGGCAGAATGTCGCGTCTCTGAGCTCCAAATCCCTGGCAGACAGGCACCTCCCGCCAGATTGAGCGCGCGCGTGCGTTAATGGAGTTGTTGTGTAGCACGGCGTGGGAGATCGGCTCATTCACGCTTGCCGTTTGACAGCTGCTCTCGTTTCCTCCTGTTCCTGATGGATCCTCTGCGTCATCACGACACTGTAGATGCCTGGTTTACACACGCAGGTGAATGCTCATTAATGCTCGTCCCTGACTCGGTCATCGTAGCTTGGCTGTGTCTCCGTCTTGCCTGGAAGGTCCTCCGGGGTGTTCCTGTGCGGCAGAGACCGGCCTGACTTTTGCGGGGCGGGGCCGTCCTTTATTACGGTTTGGGGTCCAGGTCGACGGCGATGAGACAAAGGCCCGCCCGCCACCCGTGGAAGTCGCTCAGTGCTTGGCTGCCATCGCGTCCGGCACGCCGCCAGACTCCGTCTGCCGCTTCTGGAGCTGGCGGCCGTTTAGGAACCATGAATCATGCGCTCATCTCTGCAAATTACACCAGCCAGAAGTTGGGGGGGTGGGGGGGCTCTTTGTGTGTTTAGCTCAGAAGCTGAGCTGGGGTGTCAGGTGAGCTGCCATTGGCCGTTTCCCAGGATGACATCATCCTGTCAGTGGTGGGTGCTGCATTTCCATCAATGAAGGCGGGCAGTGATTTGGACGATAAGACCATCAGCTTTCGGACACGTGAGCCCTGTGATGTCAGGGTTACAGGAACCTTATTCTTCTCACGAAGCCATGCATGGAGTTGGTCCCCCAGCCGTCCTGACTGCTCCCTCTCTCTTGCCCCCCTCCCCCCAGAAAGAGATCCAGGCCATGAGTCAATGCCACCACCCCAACATCGTCTCCTACTACACCTCATTTGTGGTCAAGGACGAGCTCTGGCTGGTGATGAAGTTACTCAGTGGAGGTAAGTCACCGCTCTGTCCCAGCATGCTCTCTGGTCCCATAATGCCTTGTGGCAGGAGTGAGCGAGTGTGAGAGAGAGGAAGGGAGGACCCTCCGTTCGTCTGGGCTCAGAACCCGTGAAAAGTCGTCAGCAGCCCAGGGGGGCGATGGAGAGCGTGCTGGTAATATGACACATGAGCATCTACATGGACAGGCTGTGGGCTTTTTCCAGGAAGGTTTTTGGTATGATCATGCAGAGGATGAGGCCTCAGAAGTTTGTCAGTGTGGGGGAAGTGCTGCTGGCTGGAGGGAGGGGAGGGGGGGAGGCACCAGATCCACTCTTCTGTGATTCGCCTTGTGTGGATGTATCCCCGTCACATCTCTATCCCGTTTCTGATGTGTGAATGACCAGGCCAGACAAAAGTCAGACGGAACGGAGTGTCTGTGGCACGCCCCCTGCAGGGAGCAGCTGGGAGTGCAGCGACCGTTACTGCCTCGACGGTGTCGCGTGACGGGCTGATAACGCAGACATCTCCGTGCTGCCCAGAGAATCTTGTGCGAATACCGGAGGCCTCTAGGTTGTGGACTTGGTAGCAGTGAATAATTCAAGGTTCCTGAAAGCAGCCAGCCACAGGCCAGAAGTGCAGTCAGAATTAATAGGGTTCAGCTCAAGTATCTCATGTATATGTTTAAAAAAAAAAAACTGATTCATCGTTTGTGACCTCCCAAAAGATCAGGGATAAAAAGGATACATTTTAAAAATTTCTTCCTTATTTTATCGAAAATCCCAGCTTGGTTCCCCCCGAAATCCGCTGAACGTGACCTGGATTTCCGTCGCCCCCCTCCTCAGACACCCCCGAGAGTGTTGAGGCGCATGCCCAGAGCGACCTCATCTGGAGGTGGAGCTCGTTACCGCAATTTACTAGCCGCGGGCTCCCCTTCCTCTCGCGATAATGACCAATGAACTTGACATACGATTAATGCCTGCAATGCAATTTTATTTAGCAATTTTATTTTGAATAATGCTTTTAAAATATACGACCCTATAAAGACGTCCCCGTCTTTAAATGTGCTCGCTGCAGTTAATGGTTTTATATATGCTAATTATGCCCTGTTAAAGGTTTTATCCTGATCTGGGGTTTAACATAATGGTGACGAGCATGGAATGCTCAGTCCTGGTCAAATAGGCATATATTTATTACGGGCAAGACTTTAGGGGTAAAGTGGCATGTCTGTGTAAATTGAACAGTTTTAGAAGTTTCCGGAAATTTCTGGCACTCGACTAGGTCAATCAACAGCAGGCAACAGGGCCTGCCACAAACAGTTTTGACTGTAACGTCTGAATTAGGATGTCTTACAGAAGGGCTCTTCCAACCTCGATTGGGGAGATACAGACCTGTTTGCTGGCTTTAGCGCAGGTGGATACTGCCACTGCGTCAGGGAAAGTAGAACAGGACGTTCAGCGACTCTGCAAGCTGTATGTTGGAATGCTCTAATTGCCCGTGGTCACATGACCCCCTCGGACGGTGGGAACGTGTTACACCCGCTGTTGTCTCCCGCAGAGCGCAGTTGACGTCTCTCCTTTCCAGTTCATTGTAGGTCCTTTGCGTGATGCAGAGCCGATCTGTACGTGTTTGTAAAGTGCTTCGATGTCATCGCTGGGAGTTTCTAGGGAATTACCAGTGAGATCATTAATCCACAGCTTCTCTGACTTTTTATGGAACACGGGGCTTTGTAAGGCAGCACAAAGGCAGCGTGCTCTGCTGATCTCATCACAAAAGGCTCGGTGGAGCTCCCCGATGATTAAAAGGACTAATTGTTGATTTGATGACACCACAGAAGGTTCTTCGGCCCTCCTCGTTTTTTTGTGTCTGAGCCGCCCATCATGCCGCAGGAATCTGTAGTCTTCTCTCCATCCTGCGTTGACCTCCCGTTGGGAGGCTTTTAGAATGCTGATAAGCATCTTCTCTAGCCGTCACGTTCTCGGGTGTAGCGGTACTCTGCTTTTTCAGTGATTCATTCGTTGGGAACTTGTCAGTATTATTGATGTCTGGTCTGGGACACCCACCTCAAAAGCGTGGCCCCGTTTATCCAGGTCATCTTTGCCAAACAGCCCTCTCCTCAGGCTCCTCCACACCTTCCTGGTGAGGATTTATCCTCATGAGTGACCTTGAGCGCTCAGCCAAGACCTGCGCTATCTCGTTGCTTTGCCCTACACGCCCTGCTTCCTGCCTGGCCCCTCCCCTTCTGGGCATCTTCCTCATTCTCCTCCTCACCACAAATCACATTGGCTGGCCGTTGCTTTTACTTTTGTCTGCGTTTCTGTTTATTGGTCTCTTCCCGAGTTGGTCACGCGTCCAGCTCTGTGGCGTTGGCGGCTCTGTTAATTCCACGCTGCCTTTGGGAGGCGGCTGAGAACGACGCAGGTTGAGGGGTGAACATCTGCCTGACACCACGGGGCCGTCTAGAACCTGCTCTCTAAGTGCGAGGAGATGAATGACCCGTCCCTAAACTGGCAGCCAGCCTCATCTGCAGGGTGGGAGGGATTAGACTGGAGCTGTTACTGGGGTGCAAGTGGCTAGACCCTGGGAACCAGCGGCATCCCGCTTTCAAGGCGGGAGTCCGTCTGTGCTGTGCATCTCGTGTGCAAGAAACGTGAGCTTGGTGCTCGAGACCCTTCCCAGTACCCGAATGTGCAGACTGCACGTTCTAACTCCCCACCAAAATGCCCCCACTTCGTCGACTTTAATCTCGTTATTTTGAAATGCAGCGATTTATCAGAGTGGTCTGAAATGCAGAAGGATGATCATATCTTAGTACCTTTTTATCTTGAGATAAAATCCTCCGTGTCTTATTCCTGTAACCAGTCTGATGAATTATTTATGATCTAGTGACAGAATACTAAGTTTATTGGGAATAATTGCAGCGGGTTTGATTGAAAGACAGCCGAATGAAAAGCATTTAAAGTGCTGGTTGACGGATGAGTGTCGCTCTTTTCTGTCCGTCAGGCTCCGTGCTGGATGTCATCAAGCACATCATCTCGCGGGGGGAGCACAAGAGCGGCGTCCTGGATGAGGGCAGCATCGCCACCATCCTGAAGGAGGTTCTGGAGGGCTTGGAGTATCTGCACAAGAACGGGCAGATTCACAGGTACGGCTCCCCCTGCAGGCAGCTGCTCTTCCTGCAATCTGCACTTTTAATTACATCTTTATTTTTGTGCCGGTTAGTCTGTCATCACCAACTCATGAGGTGTTTCGGGGTCTCGGTCACATGCTGCTGAATGTGGGGCGTCTGTCTGAGCTTCGCATATCCCCCCCCCCCTTCATGCCCCCCTCCCGAGGTGACCCAATCTGACAAGCGTCATCGGCATGACTATGCCTGGGGGGTGCTGTGCAGTGAGACTCGTGGAGGTTAAGGCTTAATGCCCCATTTGCAGGGGTGGGCCATCAGCCGCCTAGTTTAGCCCCTGCAAACATCCTCTTTTGGGGGGGCATCTCTCCCTGCCTAAATGCTCAGGGAGCCGTATCGGTCCTTCCTTAAAGTTCATAAAGTTAGTCATCTTCTCCCCCCCCCACTCGTGCTGAAAATGAGGCAGGATTTCAGGGAGATATCCTCCGCTTTTGGCAGCGACGGCCACAAAGACACATGTTTTAATCTCGCTCTTTCACTGACTGCTGTCTCTGTGCATCTGCTCAGCAGGCTTACAGCTTCAGATGAGAAGCTTTTTATTAAAAAATAAAAATAATACAAAAAAAATGTCAGCTGAGGAAAAAAGGGCTTTTTCAGAAAAAGCTCGTCTGTTTACCTTCGTTTGGTTTCAGCTCTCTGCTTCTATTTCAGTTTCCCTGTTTAGTTTTCTGACTGCAGTGGCCTCTGGTGACTGTCAGAAATGGCTGTCTGTTCGTGCGCCTCGGACTCTTGGACACTGGCAGCACCTGTTGTAGGACCCCTGAACCTAGACGAGGTGCCTCGTGGGTGCCTGCAGGCCGGAGGAGTCTCCATGGCGGTCATTAAACTCTGGCGATTACACGCCACTGGCAGCGTTAGATCAGACCGCCTGGGTCTCCTCTGAGTGGCCATTGTATATTGTGTTGTTTTCTCCAGAGCAGACTTTGGGAGGGTGTCCTACAAGGTAACCTTGGGCAGATTTGTGACCACGGGGAACTTTATAAACTGATGATCCTGGTTTCATGCTGGCAGCAGCATTTGAAGACTGACTGGCGCAACGCAGGGGCTGTGTGTGTGTCTGTGTGTGTGTGTGTCTGTCTGTGTGTGTTTGTGTGTGTGTGTGTGTGTGTG